ATGTTTTTAGACCATATCTGGTCCCACTCTCTCCAAGTAATATTGTGACCTACATTTAGAGCCTACAAAATCATATTTTGCTTTACTGTTTCATCTAACAACAAATCCTCTACCAAAATTTTATAGATTTTCTTTATCAGTTTATCATCTGATGATACAAGAGTCTTTTCTAATTCAGTTAGTTTTTCATTAAAACTAATCTTTTAATCTTTATTATAGATAGATTCCAGTTGCGTTTTGTACCACCAAGACAAGTGATCTGGCATTCTCAAGCAATCTTTCTCGTCCAAAATATCTTGATATCTAAATAGCTCTTCCCCTGTAAAGACATTTGGCAAGGTAACAGCTTCCAATGGTACTATGAGTCTCAATTTTTTAATATAAAACCTTCTATAGGTTGGTTCCCATACTTTTAATAAAGCCGCTCTTAGCCAATGCTGCTTAAAATATTTCTGTGTTGAAGCTTTCTCATACCATAAAAATGCGTTCCATCCTAAAGCTAAGTCATGTCCTTCGAGTTTCAGTAGCCTTCTATCTTCCAATGTAATCCAATCCTTTATACAGGCTAATGCTGCGGCCCTATAATATAATAGCCAATTTGGAACTCCAAACCCACCTTTCTCTTTAACTTCTTGCATAATTTTAAGTCTTATTCGTGCTCGCTTCCCTTGCCAAATAAATTTGGATGTTAATTGATCTAGCTCCTTGAAAATCTTTTGGTTTTGTAAAATAGGAATTGTTTGAAAGAGAAACATCCATCTGGGTAATATATTCATTTTTATTATTGCAATCCTTCCCATCATGGAAAGTTGTAGATTTTTCCACCTGTCTAAGTCTTGTTTAGTTTTTTCCCATAGCACTTTGTAGTTGTCTTCATAAAGGGAACTACACTTGTCGACTATTTGGAATCCAGTAGCTTGAAATAGCTTTCCTCTTTGTTTCACAGCCATATTTTTTGTCATAATCTTAGTTTTGTTTGCATTTATTTTCAGTCCCGCTACTTGACCATATTCTTGAATTCTTTCTTTTAGTTTAACGGCTACTTCCTTCAGTTGTTCCATAATGAATGCAATATCATCAGCAAAAGCTAATAGTTTGTATTCTTCTCCTTTCAATTTGAGATGTTTTGTGGATTTTATGGATTTTATGGAACTTGTAATGCCATCATTACCAGGAGCTGATGTAATTGGAAAGCAGCCTTGCTGCTTCAGAGGTACTTCTATACATTTAATTTCCCCTGATTTTAAAAGATGATACTCTTGCTAATGCTAGCATCATATAGAGAGACTTTGCTTGTTCCGAATTATTAAAGGGTGATGGTCATTTTCAGGGAGGAAATTGGCTTTCCAACCTCCGAAGTTTGTTTATGGAAAGCAAACAGATTGGTGTAAGATTGCATAGAGGGTTGAAAAGGCTAAAGCACCTCAGTCTTCCTCCATCCCTAGTTCCAGAGAAGGGCAGATGTAAAGCTCACACACTTCTCCCTTCCTATTTATTTCATCTTGGGAGTAGTCATTCAAAAGATTTGAGGTGAAGGAGTATGAGTTCCCTATATTATATATTATATAATATATTATATGTATTATTATATGTCTATAATTACATATTGATGTTTCTCATCTCATTGTGGTTACTAGATTTAGGAACAAAAGACTCTTGACTGCTCTCTCAGAGTCCCATCCTACCCACTTTTCTACTGGTGAAAGGGGAGAAACCCTGTCTGACCACTGAAAAAGCTATGGTGGGGAACAAAAGACCCATATGAACAAAAACCCCTTAGAATGAGGCCTACACTGAGAAATGGAATCAGGTGAGAGGATGGAGAAAAGCTAATAGGATCCTATCCTTGGTTTGTATGAGATACCTGTTGCCAAGCAGCCACTTCAAATGGCATTACTACAGACTCTTAAATATGGCTGCCTTGCTGTACTGTAAAAAGAGTGTATCAGGGCAATGGTCAATGATGTAGCCCCAAAAGAGAACTTTTATACTGGATTAAAGGGATATACTTTAGCCAAGGGGAGCCTTGCACCTAAGCAGCATGCCAGAACAGACATGGACACCTCTCATTTTTACTCCATGGTTACCCTTCCTTCTGCCCCTCCTTCTATGTTGCATCTCTCCTGATTGACATGTACAGTAATTGGTGATTGCATCACCCCAGTAATGCTATATATGGTGGCCAGTATAGGAGCTTATACCAGAATTTGTACAGGATGGAGTGACATACATTCAACTCACACAAGTTTGTGCTACCAGGTTAGTAGGCCAATATTATAAAAAATATTTTTATATAAAAATGAATCTCTTTTTGAAACATATAACTTTATGGAATTATTTCATTCCCTTTCATATTTAGAATTATTGGTGGACTTTAATTGGCTAGACTGAAGGCCCATCTTATAGAATAATAATAAACAAATACAGAAGGTAATTTTTATTTTTAGTATATAGTATTTTTCAATTAACAATAATGTATATAAGGGAAACTATAATGAATTTTTCTTTGCTTCCCTTTTCCCTCTTTTTCTGTTTGCAATCAGTATTTAGGAAACAACATCTGGTCTTACACTGTATATTTATTTAACATCTTATGTAAAAAATTTTTTTGAATGTATGTCAAATTTGTAATTGGAATTGTGACCACTGAGGAAGGCCCTTTGAGGGGCCGAAATGCGTTTGGTTCAGTTGCACAGCACTAACCCATCTATGTATGAATGTTGAAAAGTTTTTTATGTCTGAATGGTATATTTTTAATGAATCTAAGTTTTAAAATGTGTAGAGAGCTCGGTTCTTGCTTCAACAGTGTTTGGACGGAACCAGGTTCCACCACCGCCGCCGCCTTTTCTCTGCCAAGACTCCCCAGCATCCTCGGGAACCCTTGCTGTGATCTCGAGAGACCCCGCCGACAGATCCCTTTCCGCACCAGCCGGACCAGTCGCCTTTTTATCCCAGCCTCCCAGCCCAGCCAGAGCCATGGAGTCCCAGATCCGCCAGAACTACCACCGCGACTGCGAAGGGGCCGTCAACCGCATGGTCAACATGGAGCTGTATGCCAACTACGTCTATCTCTCCATGGCTTCCTACTTTGACCGCGATGACGTCGCCCTGCGAAACGTCGCTGAGTTCTTCCGGTCGCAGTCTCGTGAAGAGCGGGAACACGCCGACAAGCTGCTTCGGTTCAAGAGCCAGCGTGGTGGCCACGTCCTCCTGCAAGATATCAAGAAGCCAGAACGCGATGCCTGGGGCACAACTCTTGATGCCATGGAGGCATCCCTTCAGCTGGAAAAGAACGTGAACCAGGCCCTTCTAGAGGTGCACCGCCTGGCAAGCGACCAGAGAGACCCCCATCTCTGTGACTTCCTGGCGACTCACTACCTCGACGAACAAGTCAAAGCTATCAAGGTCCTGGGGGACTACATCACCAACCTCCGGCGGCTGGGAGCCTCCCAGGGGGGTCTTGGAGAGTATCTCTTTGACAAACACAGCCTAGGAGAGAGCAGCAGCTGAGTATGGCATGGCCCCCTCTCCCTCCATACTCCTGGGAGCACCGCCTCTGTGAACCCACAGATCTGTGAACCCACAGAACCCACAGGCACTGGTATTTCTGGCCACTGTGTGACACAGAGTGTTGGACTGGATGGGCCTTTGGCCTGATCCAACATTGGCGTCTCTTATGTTCTTATGTTCTTATCATACCCACCACCATCACAATCGCCATGCCCCAATCAAGGGGGTTGCACCTGCCAACTCTCGATTGGCATGCTTCCAATAAACAAGGGTTCACCAGTTTAAAAAGTTTTAAAATGTGTACACCTGAATAAATTTTGTATTTTCATAATATTTAGTGTCTGCTTAACCCTTGTGGATCCATAAAAAGAGAGCATCCAGCCATTGCTCTCTCTCTTGTTTTGCCTCTCCTAACTCCACCCTATCTTGCTGGTTCCATTCTTAGCGCTGTTTGGAACTTCCCATGTGTGTTGCTGGCCAACTCATGACCCCTTCCCATATTTTCATCCCTTTTTGCTGCAGAGTCAACTCGCCTTTCCAGACAGGTAAAGTATCACCCCACCAACGATACTTCCTGCTAATGCAAACGTCTCTATACCTTTCTGTCTAAATTCCTAGCTCTGTATTGTTTGTGTGTGTATGCTTGATTTATATTAGTACTAGCCTGCTGCCCATGCTTCGCTACGGTATCTAAGTTCCATAAATCCAGTTATAATACTGATGATGTAAAGTCTGAAATGTAACATTTGTTGTAGGAATTCTAATGGAAAAGATTGTAGTGTAAAAAATGAAGAAGAGAGAAGAGATTGGATTTATACCCCGCCCTTCACTACCCAAAGGTGTCTCAGAGCGGCTTACAAACTCCTTTCCCTTTCCCTTCCCACAACAGACACCCTGTGAGGTAGGTGGGGCTGAGAGAGCTCTTGACAGAAACTGCTCTTTTTTCAAGAACAGCTCTTATCAGAACCATGGCTTGCCCAAGGTCATCCAGCCAGGTGCAAGTGGAGGAGTGGGGAACCAAACCCGGTTCTCCCAGATTAGAGTCCATGCACTTAACCACTACACCAAACTGGTTCTCTCACCAAAATGAAGTGAAACATACGTACTTTCCCCCCCCCTCTACTGAAGGACATCTCTGTAGACCACATTGGTGGTTCTGCCCTCAGGTGCTAGGATCACCAGGCTGCTTGGTGAGCCCACTCTGGAGCAGGCCACATAGAACTGTACATTTAAGAAGCAGTCGTCTGTTAAGTAAACTCCTGCCACCTTCCACAAATGTGATGGCTTCTCTATTTGTGTTCCTGGATTGTTTTGCTCATATGGAGACTGTGTTGTTCTGAGCACCTCAGGGTGATCTTGCTGCTACTTGGCCTGTGCAGCTCCGTGCCCTGTAGAAGTACTATGTGCAAATGTTTTTGCTACATTCCTAAGTTGCCTCCTCCTTGTAACGTTGGTGTATCTGGCTCGACATTTGCCAGCAGATTTCTTGGGGGTAGTAAGAGGTGAGAGGTGTGAGGGGGAGTTGGTGTGAGGGAGTGTTAATGTGGTGGACATTTCTTCAGGTTCATGAGAGAGGCATGCATTGAAATGGCACCTAGAAATGTCCTTTACTATCTCCCCATAAACTTTCATACCCTGGCCCTGCTCCTACACCTGACAGACACCGGCCTGTCTGGTGTTGGGAGGGATTGTATTTAAAGGCATCACGGACGCTGGGCCAGCAGCAGTGCTAAGGCAATCCTTCTGACCAAACCTCCCATGCAGCTGTAAACATCCCACCTCCTCTCCTACACCTGACAGGCAGATGCCTGTCCAGTGTAGGAGGGGAAGGGGGGGAGTTTTAGAAGCCACTGTGAATGCAGGGCTGGCAGGATCACTAAGGTGTTACAGGTGGGGCAGGCTCCCTGTCCAGTGTAGGAGGGGGAGGGGGGAGGAGTATTAGAAGCCACTGTGGAGGTGGGGCTGCACCTGACAGACAACCACCTGTTAGGTGTAGGAGGTGGGGGGAGTGTGTTGGAAGCCATCGGAGAGGCTGGGCCAGCAGCATTACTGAACCTCACTCCCGATTTCTTCAACTGTCATTAGCTGTCTGCAGTCCCCTCTAACTGTTGCTTTTTTACCTCAGAACTCTGAGCTCTGCAGCTGACCAATCAGAGAGTGGGGGGTGCAGGGAGAGAGCTGCCTGGCAGCCGCATAAGAGGGGGGGGTGAGTCTGAGGTGTGGAATGGAGTGTAGTCCAATCAGCTTCCATATGTAAATGACCTTGGAACGCTGGGCGGGACTGCACAAAGCAGCCAATGAACCCAGCCAGTGTCTTCCGAGTGGCAGTTTTTTCGGCCTAACACTAAAGAAGTGCATTTTAGAACTTTGGTCCCCACTACTCTTTTATATATAAGGAGAGATGTTTGAGAATCCTTTAGTAAAGAAATCACTGCTTTAGTAATCCAGCATCAGCATCTATTCCTCGGGACTGGGAATTCAAACTCTCCTCGTCGCCAATTGTTAAGTCCGGCGCTTAACAATGAGTCGGAGAGTGATTCAGCAAAAGACTCAAGTTTATTCAGCTCTTTGTTCACTTCTTCGACACGGTACAACATCTGATAGCCCAAACAGTTTGTCCATTGAAACTGCTCGGTATTTAAACATTCCCGGCTAATGTAGCCACTCCTACTATACACAAATCAACCTATCAGGTTGAGCGCATAAGGACCAATCACAAACGTTCCCGCTTGCAGCTTGCTTGAATGTGATTGGGTCGTTAGTCTTGGACTTGAATCCCCTGTCCAAGACGAAGCTTAACATAGCTTCCCAATGGGATGTTTCACACACATCCTAATGTACTCATGGCAGCTAGGAATACATTACAGTATACATGGGTTATGGTCCTATAATTAATGCCTATTGCCATTTAATAATTCATAATTCCCCACATTTAATAATAAAATGAGGTAATTTGACTAACATACCAATCAGGTCAGGCCCAGCACAGGATAGTTTTGGAGGACCCCCTGTATGTTTTTATGGGTGCTACCAGCTGGCAAAAAATAGTGTAAGAATCTAGATTTTTATGCTTCCTCTAGTATGGCAGTTGGCCAGTAAGATCCAAGAATCTGGAAATGTGGATTAAAGGGCCAGTTCATGCAAGTAACTGAATTAAGGGGTAAAGCCTTTTGGGATTATACCACTTCAAGATATAGATGGGGAAATCTCTTGCACACAGAAAAGCAGCACTTCATGGAAAGGCCAAATGTCATTGGACATACTATTTTTCTGGGTTCAGGGAGCTGGTTGGTTTTTAGTGTTGTGGTCTGGTGTAGTGGTTAAGCGCGTGGACTCTAATCTAGGCGAACCAGGTTTGATTCCACACTCATCCACTTGCAGCTGCTGGATGACCCTGGGAAAGCCATAGTTGTCAGAGCTGTCCTTAAAAGAGCAGCTCTCAAAAGAGCTCTCTCAACCCCACCTACCTCACAGGGTGTCTGTTGTGGGGAGGGGAAGGGAAAGGAATTTGTAAGCCTCTCTGAGACTCCGAGTAAAAGGCGGGGTATAAATCCAATCTCCTCCTCCTCCTCCTTCTTGGTGTATTGAAGTATTGAAGCAGGATACTGTAGGCACAGGTGATACAAAAACCAGAAAAGCTTTACTGTGTGATTCTGCTGATTATATAAACTATCCCTCTACAAAATTAAGGGCAATTGAAGTTTTATAACAGCGAATTAAAATCATGAAAACAAGGGCTTTGAAGGAAATTCATTCCCTTAAAATTCTCAGGGGAACTTGGGGCCAGTGCTTTCAGTACATACATATCCCCAGTGTCCACCCCAGATTGGTTTACCAGCCCTCCGTGTAGTACAACAAAGCATTCATCCAAATATGTGGGCTCCCTCAAGATGGATTATAGATGGAGATATAGTTGTACAAGTAAAACCTTTTTTTATCTAGGTATTCTATTCTCAGCTGATCTATCCTGGAAATTGCACTTTAAATTTGTACTTAATAAGGCAAAACTGCTCTGAAGGTATCAGAATTTTTTCCCCCTTTAAAATGGGGCAGATATTTGCGTGGAGCTCTTCAGGTTTTCAACCTGAAGGTTGTTCCCCTTGTTTTCTTTGGATCTGCTATTTGAATAAATACAGTTATAGAGAAAAACTCCCAGTTTTTGAGAAAACTAATGAATATTTCCTATTGTGTTTCCAACATTGCCTTGAGGGCAGGGCTGGCTCACCCACTAGGTGAACTAGGCATTCACCTAGAGCACAGGTCGGACCTTAGGGTGCCAAACTGGACCCAGCCCCCCTCTCCAAAGCCCCCCCTGCCCCTGCCAAAAGCCCTGCATCTCCCTGACTGCCGCCGCTGCCACCTCTTTCTCCCCAAGTCCGGCAAGCACTGAGCTTCCCGGACTCGGGAAGAAAGAGGCGGCGGCAGTGGTGGTCACCCAGTCTGGGAGATGCAGGGATTTTGGGGGGGGTCAGGTGCAGTTTGGCACCCTAGGGCCAGCCAGTCACCTGGCCCCGCCAAAAGCCCTGCATCCAGTTCTGGTTTCATGGATGGGGGAGGGGGTCCCTGGATGGGGCGCTGAACTGTGCCTCCCCCCTGTGCCCTCCCCACCACCACTGTGACCATGACCGCTACCACCACCACGAAAGTTTGCAAAAGTGGGGAAGGGGGGATTTTCCCGCACCCACCACCTTCCTCTGTGCCTCCAGCTCGCTCTCCCCTCTGCCGCTTACAGCAAATGCAAACAAAAATCAAACCGCCACCGGGGGGGGAGGAATCAGCTCCTGTGCTCCCCCGTTGTCTCTCTGCATAAGGTATCCATGGGGGGCAGTGGAGAAGCCAAGTGCCACCTTTGCTTGCTGCCACCACCGCCACAGTTGCTTTCCCCTTCCCAGCGCCGCGTGCAGAGCGGGACTGGTGGTGCCGAGCGGAAAAGTGCTCTCCTAGCTCAGGGGGCTCCGAGGGGAGGAGAGGAAAAGAAAATCAATTGGGAGGGGAGAAAG